CGTTTATTACAAGGCGCCGTTGATCACCTGGGACAAAACCAATCAGGAAGCGGGTTGAGAAGAAAGCGTGGGCTCTCGAGACCACCAGGTGAACCCTTCGAACAACAGATAAAACTAGCACACAGATCAAGTCACAAACATTTGAAGGCGTGTGCTAAGACTAAGAAGAAGCATCCCAAGTATTCAGATATATTTGCTTAACCATGGCTCTTATTCACCCGAGTTCATGTGAGTGCTTACATTCTGGATTGGATTTACTTAGTACACCCCCGACACAAACTGCCGTCGAGGAGGGTCAATTTATTGAAATACATCCCCTGGCATCCTTGGCACAAGGTGCACCTATAGAATTTGCAATTTCTGGCAACAGTGAAGACTATCTCGATTTGTTTAATACTTATTTACACGTGCGCGCTAAAGTGACCTTAGCGAATGGTGATTCAATACCAGCGGACGCTGATGTCGCAACCGTCAATTATTTCTTGCACAGTTTATTTTCACACGTGGATATTTCTCTAAACGATACGCTAATTACTGCTGGTGAGAACACCTATCCGTATCGCGCCTATCTGGAGACTACGTTAAATTACGGGGAAGAGGCCAAGAATGGGTCTCTATCGGCCGCTCTTTATGCGAGGGACATAGCCTATTACTTCGAGGAGTTCAAAGATGACAATAATGACGGGTATAGGATTCGCCGCACCACCGCTGCTGAAAGTCATGAGATCGATATGATGGGACGTATACACTCTGACATTTTCGCCCAAGATCGGTATATGTTAAATGGTGTTGACATTAAAATTAATCTAACCCCCACAAAAGATAGTTTTACTCTCTTGACAGCAGAGCCAAACAAGGGATATAAAACGGTTATAAAGTACGCAACATTGGTGGTTAGAAAGGCCAGACTTAACCCCGCCATTTCTATCGCACACGAAAAGGCATTAACGACAATAAATGCAATTATACCCTTTTGAAACGCGTTGTTATAAAGACCTTTGCTATACCGAAAGGCATGTTGAGTCACAACCAAGACAATTTGTATATGAGTCAAACACCCACCCGTTTAGTGATCGGTCTAGTCGCCTCTACAGCCTTTAATGGAAGTTACATGAAAAACCCCTTCAATTTTCAACATTTTCACTTGACGTATTTAAATGTAAGCGTTGATGGCCGCTCGTTATCGGGAAAACCACTGGTCATGGACTTTGATAAGAAACAAGCCATTAGAGCGTTTTTCAATAGTAACATCGCTCTTGGTATGGTTGGAAAAGATGCTGGGAATGGGATAGATTATAAAAACTTTAAGAACGGGTATACCTTATTTACTTTTGATTAAAGCCCTAGTCTTTTGGATGGTGAACAATTTGAATTGGCTAAATCTGGACCTGTTTCTATTGAACTTAAATTTTCACAAGTTACAGCTGACCCGATTCAAGTTATTGTGTATGCTGAGCTTGATTCGGGGTTAGAAATTTCGAAAACGAGGCAAGTGCTGACAGATTACACCGCCTAAATGTGAGCGGCTGGAGTGTGTTAATCTGTTATTATTATTATTCGTAACTTAGAAGGCGAATGTATCGTTTCGTTTCATGTCGTAAATTGTTCGTAGTTTTTAGTTGTGTAGTCCCGTATTATGGCGCCGCTGTCTTACTGTTTATGTCCCTGTTTACAGCTAGTTTGTATATATTTCGTTTATATTGTTGTCAAGGTTTATATTAAGTGTCTTTTTATATAATTCTGTTGCATGTTTCGTGGCGTTTGGTTTGTTATCTGTGAATTAGGGACTATTTGTTTACGTGTAGTGTGTGAGGTGTGTGAAAGTCGATTTCCGGCTTGATGATTCTGTCCTTTTGTGTGTGCTGAAGTGACGAGGTAAGGTCGAAGGCGTTCCTTTTACCATCAAGTCAGAAGAACATCATCTAGCTCTTATCATTTTGTGTATTTGTTCGTTGCAAACCTGGTAAGTTAGAAACATATTTATTTTTATTTTGCTGTTTATTTTTCATTGCTGGCCATAAGCTTTTTTCTGTGGCTGTTTTCTTACCGCCATTGTGGTTTTGTCAAACCATGTGGACTCAGATTCTGAGTTTTATTATATTATTATGTTTATTATGTTATTTTGTTACTTTGTTTTATCCCTTGGGCTTGTGTTAAGCCAGGGATAATGCTTATTTATACTTGGCCCACAGTTATGGTTTACTCCTGGCTGTTGGGTTAAGTGGTACACATATTTTATTGGTTGTATCCCTTGGGCTGGTGTTAAGCCAGGGATAAAGTTATTTTAGACTTGACCCGCAGTTATGGTTTACTCCTGGCTGTTGGGTTAAGTAGTGGAGTTATTGTTGCCTGACTCACTGTTACGGTTCATTCCTGACTGTCGGGTTTGGTTATGTTACTTGTAAGTTGTTTATACTTTTTTAAAGCCATTATAGTTGACTTACACTTCCTGTGGTGATCTTTGTTGATCCCCAAGAGAGTGTTTGGTTCATTCTAAGTCACTAGGGATGTGCACATGACATTAATAGATTTTATATTACGTGAGCCTTTTGTTAGGCTGGTAACTGTCTGTTGAGCTAGTAGTTTGGAGCTCAGTTTCCTGGTAATATTCCAGGAGTGTGTTCTGTGTGAACTACCTGCAGGCTGTTGAGATGTGATCCAGTCAGCCTGTGTTTAATACTTTGTATATAATTTTTTTATGTTAATTAATGTGTCATTTTTTTTCCTTTTCTAGGACGTAGTCCGAAATCGGGTGTTTTGTTGTATATAAATTGTTTTGTTTAGATCTGAATCTAGATTCTAGTTGTTTATGTAAGTTTTGGTTCCATATTTTTGTTAAATAAATTGTATTATATTGTTAAAGCTTTTTTTGTTTTTATCATTTAGACTAAGGTTAGGTTATTAACCAGTCTGGGTTTAGCCGGGCTTGCACTGACCGGGCAGTTAGTTAGATAAGCCTAGAAGGGTAGATTTTAGGTAACCCCCCCCCCCCCCTAGCAGGGCTTACATAAATCACCCTATAAAAGAAAATGAATACAAGAGAACTACAAAGTATACTGGCCGCGGATTTATTTGTGCAACGCACAACTTTCTTTGCTGTTTTAGCGTGTGATCAGTTACCCGAACGTCTCGATAGAATGAAGCAAGCGGCGTTCATTATAAATTTGGATTCGTCCGCGGACGCAGGGAGTCATTGGGTTGGTCTATTTTTCAACGGTCTATCGCAATTTACTTATTTCGATAGTTTTGGATTACCACCTCGGCAGCCAGCCATTTTGTCTTTTATAAAAAATAATTCAAACAGACCACTCGTTTACAATTCAAAAGTGTTACAAGATATTCTAACCAACAGTTGTGGTTTATATGCAGCTTATTTTGTTTTGAAGAAAGCTCGCGGTGCAAATTTAAAAGATATATTACAACCCTTTTCGGCGTCAGCGAATCGTCAATATATTAACGATCGTATTATAACACGTTTGACACTTGAAATTATTGGAACTAATTATAAAAGATTATTTTAAGATGTCTACTGAAGATTGGATACTTGTGGCCAGAGGTAACAATAAAGTGACGGAAATACGAACGACGAATCACACCGGATTTAAATTGGCGATTGTCAGCCAATTCATGAACAAAAACACTTTAAATCTTAGAGATCTTATAGATGGGACCGATGTTAATTTTCCTACAGATTCTGGTGCTACTATGAGTCGTCTGTTTTGAGCGCTTGTTAAGTTTATAGCATGATATTTTAAAAGCCTTTGATGACTTGAAAAACATTAATAAATAAATAAATAAAATATAAGAAGACTTTTGTTCTAATTTTAGTGTGTGTGAATGTGTGTACGTGTATCTCAAAAAAGGTCTAGCCAGAAAACCTAAAAACAAGGTAATGAAAAAACCCTAGCGCCTACGTTAAGTGTGGCGCCAGCGTGTCTCGTGCTGGCCAGGTGGTATTCAGATAAACGCCGTATAAACTTCGCGGAGACGTAATTACTTTTACAGCTGCGTGAGGAAGAACAAAGAAAGTTGGTTTATAAATAACCCTAGCGCTGCGGGGGAGACAACCCATGTGGAAATGGTAAAGTCATTACGTTTACCCGACAAAGACATTCCACTTCCCCTTCGTGTAAGACAAGCGAAATTCCAGAGACGTGCTCACGTACCAATACACGGTGTGAACCCACGCCTGCGGTCATAAACATGGTCGGCTATCAAGCCGAGCGAGGAAAGCCATTCATCACTGCGCGGCACCTGTCAAAAAACTCAACCTCGGGAAAACTTCGCTGGAGGTCGAAAATCTTTGATGTTTGCGTTAATGTGTACCAGATGTTGTTAATGGTTGTTGAGACCTACACGAAGAACTTCTATTTTTGTACTCGATTATTTTAAACATACAAACAATCAAATCAACAAACCAAACAAATTAAAACAAATTAAAATTAATTAAAATTAAAAAATAATAAAAATTTAAAAATTTAGATAATTTCAGCCAGCCTGTTAACAGCCTAGAAAGTAGCAAGAAATACAGTGGTGAGAGAAGAAGCTCAATTATCTTATTTAACTATTTTATAAAATGACTTTGTGGGTCTCTCTCAAGATCTTGATCAACCGACGCTAAAACAAAAGATGTAACTGTCCAACTCTAGTTTACCAGACTGGTATTACTGATAATATATTGACATCCACTCTTCTCTGCCTTAGATGCCCCTATTGGTTGTAATATAATCACTTAATCACATTTTAAGGAATGTGTTACATGTAATATTACGTTTTAATGCAATTATAAGCTATACCAGTGTATGATTATTTAAAACCTCATGTAAAAATTAAGATTATAAAATTACTAAAATTGGACGACAAGAAGAGCTTTCAAAAACATTTTTAAAAATATATAACATAATACTTGGTGTACATAATAAGCTATAAATTTATTAGAACAAAGCACTCAGAATTGAAAATTTTATTCATTACCCCAACATACAAAGAAATAGACTAACTTGGATTTTCTTCAGTTTCTCTTCCTCCAATTTCTTCTTTAACTTCCCAACAGCATTCTTTTTGGAGTTATTCACTTCTGCAATAGTTGCAAGACACAATATTTTTTTTTTAATTTATGTGAAATAAATGACAGAAAAAAAAGTTTTTAAAAAGCTTTACCTTTATACAGTGTTGCTATCTTATTTTTAAGACTATCATTTTCTTGCTGAAGTTTTTCAATATCGGTTGAAAAGTTGTGCTTAAGAATCTCAGACTGGAAAAAATATGCATTATATTCTTGACATAAAACTTCTCATTTATAATATGAAGATATGTATAACTTTAGTTAAAATGTAAAAAGAAGAATAATTTGTAAATAATCTAAGGCCAAGAAATTAAAATTGGTCACATAATTGTTATATTTTATTAAAGTGTAATATCCCCCTTTGCAGTTCAGACTAATTAAATGTAACATTATGTAAATAAAAGACCAAACTAGTAATTAGACTTACATTTTCCACTTCAACTTTGAAGCGACTCATCAGTTCTTTTATTTCAATCTCAAACATGGTTCTCTCCTTTTCAAAGTCTGACAACTGCTCCTCAGCGATTTGCCTGGCCAGTGTTTCACTGTCAGCTTTAGCTAGGGCCAACTGAAGCTGAGCATTAATGGAGACCCTGCAATGTCCAACACTTCTGTCTCTCAAACACCTGCACATATCTAAACCTACACTTATTTACTAAGTAAGCAAAAGTGAGCAAATTTTGATTAGAGTTTAAAATGTTTTTAAAAAATGATGTTTCTTCTTCAAAGTGTGAAATCTAAAATTGAGTATTGGCCTACCCAGCTTGAAAACACTGATGAGGTTCATTATTTGCCTTGTGAAATATTAAAGAACATCATTACATTAAATCTAATTACATTCTTTTACTGCCATCAAGAATGGTAAGTCGGCCGGACCCGATAAAATCCCACTTAAAACAGACGCATCTGCAAAAAAATAAGTCCCTACTAATTCAAAACTAGGATATAAATCTACCAAAGAAAGGTGACCTTTCTCAATGTAAAAATCGGAGAGGATTCTTGCTATTATCTGTCGAGAATTATGCTTAAGAGACTGAAGAGGGCCTTGGATCAGAACAGGCAGGTTTATTCACTATACACTCAGTCAACTGAGTGGCAATCGCTCTCTACAATTTTGACAGAGATATCGTTTGGGAAGTTGATAGGATCCCTCCGAAATTCAACATCACCCAGCTGCTATACGAAGACTCAAATTGCCACATTATTCCCAACAACAAGTTAACTAGCCCTTTTCCAGTGAAAACCGGAGTGCAGTAAGGCTGCACACTTCCACCAATGATCTTTTTAATAGTCGTTGAATGGATTATGAAAAGAAAAACCTCAGACAAAAAGGCAGTTATTTAGTGAATTCTCATTGAACAGCCCAGGACCTAGATTTTGCGGATGACATCAGCCTGCTCTCATTTCAACAACAGCAAAGCAAAATCAGTGAAGAAATCAGGCTTAAAGCTCAACTGGGAAAAAAACAGAGGCAATGACAGTTGACAGCAAAAAGGAGCTCACACTTAAGGACATGTACGCATACAACACACTCCGCAACAGAGTTTCTTCCAGACATCTCTTCGGGGGGGCTAGCCCCCCCCCCCCCCCCCCCCCCGAAAATTTTTTACCGCCCCCCCCCCCCCCCGAACGAAATGAAATTTATATAATTTATATTGAAAATATATACTTTTAACAGTGTCCGCCCCCCCCGAAGAAAGTCTACCGCCACCCCCCCCCCCCCCCGAAAATTTCAAGTGCCCCCCGGAGAAAAAAGTGTGGAAGAAACACTACTCCGCAAACTCTGGACGTCAAGTTCTCCAAAATAAGACTGTTCAATAGCAATGAGAAATCTGTTCTCCTAAGTGGTTCTGAGACGGAGAGAATAACACAAACTAACCACAATAAACTTCAGACTTTTTATTAACGGATGCCTTCATCGCATATTGAACATCAGGTGGCCTGAAAAATTACCGATGCCGAATTGTGGAGAAAAACTGGGCACAAAAAAACTTTAGACAAAGAAATACAAAAGCACCAATGGAGAAGTAATGGACACATCTTGCTGAAAAGAAACTAGCAACATCACTAGACGGTCACTAAACTGGAATCTCGAAGTAAAGAGGGACGTAGGTAGGCCAAAGCAAGCCCTTACAGGGATGGGGTGGCTAATAACCAACTCTAATCAACATTTAAGGACTATCAACTATCGGGTGTCAGTGAAACCGTGACTAAACTCACGTTGTTTAAACCCTAGCCTTAATCTAGATTTTTTTTAAATCATAACTTTAATAAAAAAAAAAATAATGGATCTATTCATTAAAAATTCTCGGTTTTTCACTGGCCATTGTGAAAAACTTATCAGTAAAGGACCATGACAAAAAACCAGACCCCACATTCAAAAATATATTTTTTATCTTTTAAAAACACCGATTTCGGACTACCCCTTCATATACTGACGTCACATGTGACCTACTCCACTCTACTTCACCTGCCCTGTGTCCCGCCAAGTCTCAGACAACATGTTTTTATCGTTTAAAAAAAAACTATTCCAGCCGAGCATGTCTCTGACCACACTATACCTTCATATGCTTAGGACAAAGAAACAGATCTAGATCTATAAATAACTTTCTTGGCCACCTGATATTTAGATCTATAAATAAATAGATAACTTTCTTGGACAGATTGTAGAGCTAGAGAAATTTATTGTAAAACTAAATGAAAAAGACAGTTGAAAATTTATATAAGTGTTGCAACGTAATAAAAACAGCAAACGGATGTATTGTTAAACATATGGCCGACAGAAAATTAGCTTTTGAATGGGCCACAAAGTCTATGATGGAAGTTGCCATTTTATTGTACTAAAAAGTAAACAAAACATGTGACGTCACTATTCAGTCAAGGTAAAAAAAACTTAAAATTAATGTGGTTAATCTACCAATGAATAAATCAATAAATTAATTAACGTCTTTAAATAAATTTGTGATTAACAGTTCTCTACCTACATACTATTTTATAGCTCTCCACCTAGCGCCGATTCTCTCAAGTACTCAATCAGACAAACAAATAAATATTCAAACATGTAAACAAAGTTGAGTTTTAGTAGTATAGAGATATTACTTTCAGAATTTACCTAACCACAAACAACCAAAACCATTTGACGGTAGCCATTAAGTCGGGGCCGTTTTGACGGCGCTATTTAGACTGGGTCGTTTTGTCGGGGGTCGATTTGACGGGGTCATATTGACGTGGCCGTTTTGACGGCATCGATTCGTCCCGGGCCGTTTTGACGGTGCATCCGGTTTTTTATTCACATACTTAGGCGGGTATAAATAAAATGTTGAAAATAAAAGCGTTTTTTTTAAAAGTACAATAGAGATATAAACTTTTTTAAAAATACTATTATATCTCGCCCTTATTTAGTTAGAGCAATATTTTTTTTTTTTTGATTTGTTGTCTCATGATATACTTTGCAATGAAATAGGTTTTTAACTACTAAATTAGGAAATAGTTTAAATAATTAATTTAAAATTTAGTAAGACAGTCTTCTTATTAATATATATATATATATATATATATATATATATATATATATATATATATATATATATATATATATATATATATATATATATATATATATATATATATATACTAAATTAGGAAATAGTTTAAATAACTAATTTTAAGTTTAGTCTTCTTATTAATACTAGGTATGCTGCCCAGCTTCGCTTAGGCTTTCTAAAACATTAAGAATTTGAATGCTTAATTAATTCTACGACCTCAGAAGTTATGAAGAGGTTCCCACATGGACTTTTTATTTTCGATTTATAGCTTATATAAGTCAGTCGAGGTCAGTTTTGACCCCCCTCATCCTAGACTTTTCGGCCAACCGGCCCCCGTGTTCTGTCGCCCTAAGCCAAGATCTTGCCAATATCTAGATCTAGAATATCTAGATTTAGAATCCTAATAGAAATTTTTTTTAAAGTTTAGCCGGAGCAAAATGGACACAAGTGAGCTGACGAGATTCCTTCCGTAATATTGTTGACATGGAATAAAAATGTGCTTTTTAGATTTAGGACCATAAAACTAATAACAGATAAAATTGTATTAAAAACTTAAGCCTAAAATTAATTCAGAATTGTAATATTTTTAGAATCAATGCTATACAAGTTGCAGATCCAGAGAACTTGAAAATAATTTGTTTAGTTTAAGGCTACATTTCTATTTATTTTCATCAAGCCTAAGTTATAACCCGATGTTTCACTTTCGTAAGACAAACATTGATTGGCTGTAAAGGAACTCCGTGATCGATTTCTGACAGCCCCACTTTATACTTATTTTGTATACAAAACTTTGCAGATCAAGTTTTTAAATAACTATGCAAATTTAAACACCATGACCTATTTTCTATTTTTAGCTTACAATGTGTACAATAAAATTTATGGCGGCCATTGTTTATGTCGCCATTACACGTGAAAACCAAATTGTTTTTGCTTTTTTTTTTTTTTTTTATTTAGTTACCGAAAATATTAAAAACATCAAATACATCCAATCTTTAGTAAAGTCCGATAAAAACCAGACAGACAGGATTTTATAACCATATTAATTGTAACTACGCCGTGCAAGATTTTTAAATGAATTTATACACCTCTCAAATACATTTGAGACTTTTCTCGCTGGTGTCCATTGTATTGTATAAATTTTATAGCGTGGGTAGATCTAAATAATATTTGAATGAGCTTGTTCATTTCTTTTTTTTCTTAACTCGGAAGATGACGTCATCAGTTTCGTGCTATTTTTTTAGTGTAAACAATAAGCGACGTCATTGTTAAATGCGTTCTTGTCCCAAGTTTAAACACTTTTCCGGTTGCATAATTAAAATTGTTTTTCTACATTCGATTTTTTTTATTTTCTTCTTTAAATAAAAGTGTGGTTATATATTTAAAACATCTAACATACTATTTTCAACAAAAGTCCGTATAAAGTTCTTCATATATCGCTGCAGTTTCTGATGTGATGTCCGGCGAAAATATTTTGCGGACAGTGAGAGAGAGAGAAGTGTGCACATGGGCCATTATATATTAGGATATATATATATATATATATATATATATATATATATATATATATATATATATATATATATATATATATATATATATATATATATATATATTTATATATATATTTATATATATATTTATATATATATATATATATATATATATATATATATATATATATATATATATATATATATATATATATATATATATATATATATATATATATATATATATATGGGGCGGACACATTTTTCTTTATGCAGGGTGGCTTTTTTTCTATGAATAGCCTAAAACCAAGTACGATGGAGAGGTCCCTTTGCCCCCTCAGGGGTCTCAGGAATAATGACCATGATGATGATGATTAAATTTTGATGTGGGAGAAATGTAAGAAATGTATTAAAACATACTTTTCTTGAAGTACCCTTTGCCCATCTGAGGTAAGATTTTGAATTTGCTTATTTTTTTCACCTACTTCAACTTTTAAGTCTTCCACTTGAGTATTGTACAAAGACTTTAAAAATAGATTAATAAATAATTTATTATTATTTTATAGTCAATTATGTTTTTCAAAATCCACTATTAATCATTAACAATCCTACATTAACTTACTGAGAAATATGTCTCTGCCTCCAATTGTTCCTTTAGTTCTGTTATCTGCAACTCATTTACTTGCACATCTCTGTTTTGAGAATTCAATGGTTGTGATATTTCAATACATGACAGTCAAATTTATACATAACTTGAGATTTCGTAATTCAAAAGTTATAGAAACGTGCAAAGTATATTGGTTGTTATGCTGTACTTACTGTTTTAATTTTTTTATTTCATCATCTAAGTTCTTCTTCACGTCTTTTAAATCTTGAATTTCCTGACATAAGTGCCATGAACGAAATAACTTTAAAGCAATGTTGCTCAGATCAAATCATTCAGCAATTTAGAATGAACAGTAGTTTTATAAGATCTGCTATATGTACATTAAAATTTATACATTATTCTCGAATGTAAAACAACCCGAATTATACCTTAGTAAGCTGTTTTTCTATTGTCGTGGCTCTTTGCAATCTAAGACTCTTTTTTTTAGAATCCGATCTACTTAGCATTAGATTTCTCCTCTGTAGTTGTTCAACTTGAAGTTCTAAATTCTTGCTCTAGTTCATTAAATGTAAAACTAAATTAACCATAGACATCAACTGAGGGAGAGGCCTAGCAGCTTACGCAGGAGAATGGGATCATACAATACAGACACAAATGCAACTGATGTATCTATTGTAATTTATTGATGGGCGAACTGTGTAGCGGCGGTGCATTATTTACAAGGTCAACATGCGTCAACACGATGATGTAGTATTTTGACCGGTTGTGTGACAATGACTACGATTACAAATTATACGAAAGAGTAGAAGCCTTATATGATTACTTTTTGGTTTTGAATATTTAGCAATTATCAAGAATCATTACATCATTTAAATAGCGTAGTGAGGTCGGGTGTTACCCGATGCGGCACCTAATGGTGTCACACACACCCCCCCCCCCTGCAATATATATATATATATATATATATATATATATATATATATATATATATATATATATATATATATATATATATGTATATATATATATCGATATATATATATATATATATATCGATATATATATATATATATCGATATATATATCGATATATATATATATATATATATATATATATATATATATATATATATATATATATATATATATTCCATATGCACTTGTAAGTATGTGTATACGCATGTATATGTATTCAAATGTTTTTTATGCTGAATGTATTTAATTTTTACCCCCCCCCCCCACCACCACATACATTGATTAGCATGTAGCTTATTCCCAAACAAACCATTTTCCTCAGGCATATATATTGCAACGTTGAGTTGATGTAACTCTCCCCCCCCCCTTTTCACCCCCACGGTGATTGCTTTAAACTGTGCTCAGTTAACACTAACGATTTCTATCTATATTCGGTTAAAAATTCAGCTGAATGTTGCATGTTTTCTTTATCCTTAGCAGGTTTACGTCATGGTGTCACCCCCCCCCCTCCACCCGTGTCGGGATTTGTCCACTTTTCTCTTAAAAAAACTATTTAATTTATTCTAATTAATCATTTAATTAAATGAAATTATCATTTTCTGTATATAGGTTGCTATTTTTTGTCTTGGTGTCAACCCTTAATTGGTGGTTCCCGGTGCAGTCCGAACCGCCCCCCCCCCCCCGCCCCCCCCCCCCTCTCTACGCCTCTGACTCAAAACAATAACGTATTGTCTATAGAAATTTGAGACCCATTTAGAAGGCGATATTTACAGAACAGTGAAGTCAAACTTATTGAAGTAATTGATACAAAGAACGCGAAAGGCGTGCTTTGCAGTGGGGAGCCAAGGAGATTGCCTTCAAGAAATATATATATATATATATATATATATATATATATATATATATATGTGTGTGTGTGTGTGTGTGTGTGTTTCTGTGTGTGTCTGTGTGTGTGTGTGTGTGTGCGTGCGTTTGTGCGTGCGTGCGTGCGTTTGTGCGTGCGTGCGTGCGTTCGTGCGTGCGTGTGTGTGTGTGTGTGTTACCGGCAATGTATGAACACCCGGGATTATGTAGTAGATTGTCTAGGCAATGTATGCAATTCCTGACGTTTTAGGCAAAATACAAAATAACGGCGTTATTATATACTTTTCTTAGGCATTATAAAAATGCCTAGGCTTTATAGAGCTAGCGTAGAAAGTCTGACGAAATATATAAGAAGAGTTTCATCAATGCGTTACCAATCCTATATTCTTAGACGCGTGACCTTGTTTTCTAAAAGTAAGTTATTAAAAGGTAAACATTGCCTGCGCTGGGATCAAAATATCGGGACACGGGTTTACCTACACTAACGCATGAGTGTACGTTAATCACTCACCGAAATAATCAGGTAGAACACACTTCGGTGACAGGGACGTAGAGGGGCGCTCTCGGGTTCCCCCCGATTACACTACCGCGAAGGCGGCGCGTACGGTCCCTGGCGGTCATTGAGCATCGCTCTGCAACTTTGAGTTATGTTGAAAAGCTTAGGGGTCATCCATAAATAACGTCACGCTTTTTTGACGATTTTTACCTCCCCTTCCCCTCCGTCACTCATCGTCACAAAAAGCCAGACCCCCCCCCACCTAAAATGACGTCACACTTCAGCCTAAACCCCCCCCCCCCCCCTCAAAATTGCGGTTGAATTTTTTTTTTAAAACATCGATATTTTTCCAAAATCGTGTCTGAACTCGTGTCGAAATAGATTATTTTAATCAATTCCTATTGCAATTTATTAAAACAGTTTTCTAAAACGCGAAATAACGTCTAAAATTCCATTTACTAACATTGCTTTTTTAAAATGCAAAGTGTGACGTCGCACCATCTGAACCTCCCCCCTCCCCCTCATCACACATCGTCACAAAATTACGGACCCCCCCCCTCCCCCTTACGAGTGTGACGTCATTTATGGACGACCCCCATAGCCGCCATAGGCTAGTGCTCACAGGATAACCCAGAGCGCCAAATGGCATCCTAAAACAGTGATGCAGATTGCGTCATTCGCTAAAGTGACACAAATCAACAGGATTTTTTTCTTTAACACGGAGAATAAAATTGTTTGACGTGTTATAAACATTACTATGAATGTATTAGCATTCTAACGGTGTATCATTAGAAGCTCGATCACAATTTCTGATTGGATCGTCTAAAAAGAAGATGCTTATTGCATCATTCACAAAGTGACGAAACTGTATGCCTACAGAATGATTTCCTCGCGTTACAAAGTTATTTTTAGAAGTGTGACTTTTATTTTTAGATTTGAGTTGCCCTCCGAAACTGAATATTTTACGGAAATATTTTCATTATTTCGAGAAATGTAGGCTTTGGAATGGCAACGGGATAATGACGTGATTTTTATTTACTTAAAGTTTTTAAAATAGAATAGAATCTCGTAGAAAATTTTTTTTGCCGCTAAGCGTATATAGTAGTATATACAAATTATAGAGTAAGTCTTGTAATCGTGCAAAAAAATGGAGATTTTTTCAAATCTCGACGTCTTACACCTCTCTGAGTTGGAAAAACATAGTTTTTTAATCTAATCCGTGTGTATGTATGTGTGTGTGGTGTGTCTGTGTGTGTATGTGTGTGTGTGTGTGTGGTTGTGTGTGTGTGTGTGTGTGTGTGTGTGTGTGTGTGTGTGTGTGTGTGTGTGTGTGTGTGTGTGTGTGTGTGTGTGTGTGTGTGTGTGTGTGTGTGTGTGTGTGTGTGTGTGTGTGTGTCTGTAAACACGATAACTTGAGTACAGCTACAGCTAGGTTGATGAAATTTTATATATAAGTATTATACCCAAATCGTAGTTTCGTATCAACTTTTGAGCGATTTCCGATAATGGAAGTCGAACTTTTTCTACTTTGAATTTTTCAAAAGCCTATAACTCGAGTACTATTTTAGATAGATTAATGAAATTTCACACGTAAGTAAAAGATAGATCTAATTCTCTGCCTTCTGTCAAATTTTGAGTAATTTCCGTTGAATGGAAGTAGTAATTTTGCGTTAACTTGATGTGCATTTTTTTTTTCTACGAGATTCTATTCTGTTTTATAAAGTTTACTGTTTAAGTAATTAAAAATGGATTAAAAATCATGTCTGTTTCCCGAGTTGCCATCCCCTGTTGTTTTATATAAGAATATTCGAGAAAGTTTAGGGGAGATCACTCCCGGTTTATTTATTTTTTTACGATTACAATACTTTCTCTATACTTCGTATACGAGAAAGTAAAAAATGTATATATATATATATATATATATATATATATATATATATATATATATATATATATATATATATATATATATATCCCTAAGACAAATCCATATTTTTTATTGACACATTTTTCTAAAATAATTTAATAATTTCATTTGTTTTACATAACTGTAATAAAAGAATTAACATCAATTCCCTGTACCTACCTTATCGGATTCACTCCTGAGTTCTTCTTCAAGGGATTGAACTTTTTGTCTCAGCTGTATCAGCTCCTCATTAAGCTCAATACTTATTTTCTCTGTTTCAAATAATTTACTCTCTAAAATTGTTGTCTGTGCTTTTTCGTTGTCTATATCTTTTAATATAACAAACAAAAAGTAATTCTTAAGTATAATCAAGTAAAATATACATATTTTTGTACTAACAAACTTTTCTTTGTTTAGAAAACATATTAAGAAACTTCAATTAATATAAATAAAAACATTAGGCCTACAATTTATCAAATAAAAAACTTCTACCAGATTATTTATTTATTTATTTACATCGGAATGCGACATAGGTATTTAGTTGACTGGTTGATTTTCTAGAAACAAGAGGAAAAAACAAGCTGAAATCCAACGAACACAGCTGCTCGAACTCTTGGATTTCGCAGTTGTGCGCTGTCTTTTCGCACAACAACAAATTAGAATAAAAGACCTTGGAAAACGAAATATGAGCAACTAATAAGTGGTGGAATAGGGCAGAATATCATAAAAACAGCAAATCCCATTACTAAGCACCTAGGGGTGTCACAAAAAAACTCGCCATGTCCGGGAAAAATCTGGAAATGGGTCAAAACTGACCAGTTTATTTCCCTATATAATCATTGTATTTTATGGGAAAAACAGGGAATTTTCAACAAAATTTTTTGGTTACTTAACCTCTGTACATCATGCTAATGTTTTGCATACACTTCTATAGATGACTAGGCCGTATGGAAAAACTGTTGGTCAGACTCAAAGCCCTCGACCAATGCTAAAAGATGACCGCGAGTGAAATTCTTCTTATATGAGATATATATAAATATATTGACGAACGATCCCCTTAATATTATTTGAGGTCGTAGACCGACCCTGGAGGATAACAAAGAAAACTTTATTCCCATCGTAAAAAGCCATTGTGGTCGTTAAATATGTTCATATATGGTATTTTCTTACATAAGCATACCAACTGTTTGTTAAAAAAAATAAACCGGGAGTGATCTCCCCTAAACTTTCTCGAATATTCTTATATAACTTGGAATGTAGACATGATTTTTAATTACTTAAACTTTTAAAAACAGAATAGAATCTCATAGAAAAAAAATATAATTAGTTCTTTATAAATTTACATGCGTTTTTTTTTTTTTGAGAAATCGGAAATAGCGTAAATTAGTACTTCCGGTCAACGGAAATTACTCAAAATTTGACAGAAGGTAGAGAATTAGATCTTTAACTTACATGTGAAATTTCAGTTATGTATCTGAAATAGTAGGCTACTCAAGTTATAGGCTTTTGAAAAATTCAAAGTAGGAAAAGTACCACTTCCAGTTATCGGAAATCGCTCAAAAGTTTAAACGGATCTGCGATTTTGATAAAATACTTAGATATTTTCTCTGAAAACGGATGTTAAACAACATACAACAACACCTTCTCTAAAATTAGCATTACTGTTTAAATTAAGCACTCCACACCTCATCCATCACTAAATAATTAGTATTCAAATTTTAAAATGTTTTTGAAAACCTAAGCAAAGCTAGGCAGTATGCCTAGTCTATATATATATAAAGCAAAGTGGTCAAAGGTGCCCGATAGGGCACTTCCCGGCGCCGCAGGCGCTTCAAATTTGGCATGAGTCTGCCTTGGGGCAATAGAACGCGAGAGCCGGTGCCGGTTGGCCGACAAGTCCACGTAGAGGTGGTTAAAACTGACCTCGACTGACCGGCGCCCTATATGGGCCCTATTATGAAAAAAAAACTTTGCCCGACGAGGGCCAAAAAGTGACCGTGAGTGAAATTCTCTTTATATGAGCTCTGTTACGAAAAAAAACTTTCGTCCAACGACCCCCTATAGGCCCTAAAATGAAAAAAAAACCTTTGCCCGACGACCCCCCCTAGAAATTTTGTGAGATGGTAGGAGAACGCCTTGGGGCGTCACGAAAAACTCGCCATGTCCGGGAAAAATCGGAAAATGGATCAAAACTGACTAGTCGTATTTATATAATCTTTGTATTTTATGGGAAAAACAGACGGTAATTTCAAAACGGATTTTAGGGCATTTACCCTCTTCACATCTGGCTAAATATTGGCATATGAAGGGATAGTGTGGTCAGCACTACACCCAGCCGCCTTTGTTTCCCTAACGTAAGTTATGTACCCATCAGAGTTAGGGGATTAAGGGACGATCCACTGATTTGAACCCGGATTTAAACTCGAGACCATCGGGTTAGCAGTTTAGCTCTCTATCGGTAGGCCACGCCGTTTCATGTTGAGCATCCATCCCACCTTATGTTTTATTTTCAGTCATTCACCACTGAATGCTCGTGCTTGCTTTAATCATAATTTTTAAAATTACTAATATGTTTCAATTGTCCGAAAAAGGAGCCACTGTCTAAAAAATGCTTTAATTGGTGGCTGGATACGCATCTGCGTGCATTGGTTTTGCCGGTTAAGTTTATTTATGTCAAAAGAGCAAGTTATCTTACTGTTATAAACATTAGAGTCAAAATGAAAAAAAAACCTCACCTGAAGAACAATCAGAAGCATTAAAAACACCCAAGCTGACAACACTATTGTCTCGAGGTTTGCGTCTATAATCCAAAGAATTGACATAGTTAAGCACTAGTCTAGCCTTATCTATTTCAAATTCTTTAGCGTCTTTCTTTGACTGGGGCCTTTGAGTGTCTTGATTATCTTTTGTCGTGCAATCAGCAGAGAGAGAAGACAAGTTAAAAAATTACAACTACCTCTACCGTTGTTTACTAGCTATTAAAACATGTTGTTTTTTATTCTTGTGGATCATGCATATATTATACGACTATAACAAAATGGGCAATATGATGGTTATTTTTCTATCGTTCAGTATGAGTCGGGGAGGTGTAATAGTGTAGTGTTATGTAACGTTGCTTTTGAAATTTTTATTTTTACATTTTGCGAGTTAATATTGAATAGATGTCTTACATTTACATATATTTTGAACACAAAATATCGCTTTAAACCAATTTTTAATTAAGATTTAATAATTTATTATTTCGAGGTTTCAGATCAAGATGGTCTATAGAAAATTAAAATATTATAAGATATTATAAGATAGATTGGTCAAACTTTAATTCTTTTTGAAAATAGCACTCATTTTAAATATTTCTCTTCTTATGAAACACTCAATAAATACTTAAACAACATAACTGTATTCTAAATCTTCAACACACCCTCTCTGCACATAATCACACCAACTCACACACATAAAACGTGGTACATGATCATAGAAGTCTGATAGCCTTTCCTCCAAAGTAAGACCCTTAAACCAAACATAGCAGTGATATTTAAATAGATCTACCTGAAGCACTCTCGGAGGGATTTAAAATCCCCAAGCTTGCAGCACAGCTTTCAATTGAATTGCTGCTGTTCACCGTGGAAGTATTGATACTCCTATGTCTGGCATACGTAGAATGTTTCAACACATCAGTTTTCTTTGAAACAGTTGCTTCTCTTCCATGATCCTCTTATATATATATATATATATATATATATATATATATATATATATATATATATATATATATATATATATATATATATGTGTGTGTGTGTGTGTGTGTGTGTGTGTTGTTCTATAATGTGTATGTTTTTACTACTTCAAAACATTTGAAATTCATTTCACTAATGGCGGATGAAACAGGGAAACTGAAAACTATTTAATTTTTAAAAAGATAAGTAAACTGAAAATGATAAGGATGGCAGAGGACACAAGGTTATCAGTTAAAGGGTGTGACAGGGGGGTGAGGGTGGGTTTGAATATGGGTACGTCTCAATTATTACTGGATGCACATCTGGCAGTAAAGCGTGGGCTTGACCCACAATTGTTGACACAAAACTTAGTGTTGGTAGATATAAAAACTGCGTAGGTGGTTAAATATGGATGTAGAGCAAGGAACCTACAGTAGTCATCTTTAGACAGAAAAGAAAGACCAATAATTATTTGTTTTCTTATTCGCATAGTCGTGTTTTAATGTGTATCTTTTTGATACTTAAAGCAATTTTAATTCATTTTAATGATGTCGGATGGAAAAAGGAAATTAAAAACTACTTTATTAACTGATTTCTTTACAAAGAAAAAAACTGAAAATGATAAAAATGAAGATGGTACTATTGCTTCTCAAACTACATTACATCAATAAATTTCCATAAATTCAGTACCTTTGACTGTTTCTTATGCAAATGATATCGGCAATTTTATCAAAGGAGTTATTACAGATGATACACGGTTGTATTTATTAGAAAACATCTGGCGTCCTGATGAACTTTTTAAATTTCCAGCAAGCGGACAAAAAAATTTAAAATTTCATTATTCGTGGCTACTTAGGTGGAACTGGTTGACTTATTCCAAATTACTTGATGGCGTATTTTGCAAATATTGTGTTTTGTTTAGTTTGAATTATGGTGGTGTAGGTAGTCAGCCTTTAGGTAAGTTATCAAAAACTCCATTTTCAAACTGGAAAAAGGTAACAGAAAAGTTTAATAAGCACCAGCAATGTGAATATCATAAAATAAAAGAGCAATTTTACTTTCCCAAAATCGTAAATTGGTTATGGAGAAAAAATAGAACCTATTAACATCGCCTTGAACACATCATTAAGTTAACAAATTCTAGAAAATCGTTTAAGGTTAGCGCCCAAAATAGAAACTATAATTTTTTGCGGCCGACAATGTCTTGTACTTAGAGGGATTTCGGAAATTTTCAGTTGGAGGATCCTGACGAAAATGATGGAAATTTTCTAGCTCTTTTGAGATACAAAGCCATGGGTGGAGACGAAACACTTCAACATCATCTAGAAAATTCTTCAAAAAATGCAAGATACTTAAGTCCCACCATTCAGAATGAAGTGATAAATGTGTGCAATAAATTAATTGTTCAAAAGATTGTTGCGAAAATTACTTCTGTTAAATTGTTTTCCGTCTTAGCCGATGAAACTAGTGATATAGCTGTTATGGAGCAATTTACGTTATGTGTTCGCTACTATGATAACGACATAAAGAAAATAAGGGAGGATTTCCTACAGTTTGTAGGTGTAACTGATCTCACAGACAAAGGACTTGCAAATGTTTTAATGGACACTCTAGCAAATTTTATGATTGGTCAAGGATAGGATGGAGCCGCTGCAATGAGTGGTCGACTTCATGGGGCGCAACAATATGTTGCTGAGAAATTTTATATGGTTATTTACGTGCATTGCGCATCTCACAGTCTAAACCTAGCACTTTCTGATGCCTGCGAGCTACCAGCTGTGAGAAACTGTATGGAAATCCTTAATAGCACATACAACTTTTTAACACACCAAAACGACAATCTTTGCTTGCAAATTCAATAGAGAAATTAACACCTAAAGCATCAGCATCTCGACTTAAACAATTGTGCCCAACCAGATGGATTGAGCGTCATGAGTCTGTCAACGTTTTTATACAGCTTCAAAAAGCAACTGTTGATGCACTGGAAATTATGTCATCCTGGCACGATACAACAACTTCTTCAACAGCGGTTCAACTTTTAGGAGCAATTAGGAGTCTTGAGTTTCAAGTTTCTCTTAGAGTTATCTCAAAATTCTTTGCAATAACACTTCCTGTCAGCAGAATACTCCAAACAGAAAACGTTGATCTATCTGCGGCTCTAAAATTTACAGAAGATTCAAGTAGCCTACTGGTGAATATGCGGAAGGATGTTGAATCAGAATTTACTACCGTATTTAATCAAGTCAAAGACATTTGTGAGGACTTCGACATAGATATACTTATTCCACGTTGAGCTGGAAAACAAATTCAACGCTTCAGTGTGATGGCAAATACGCCTGAAGAGTATTACAGAATAGCTGTATTTATTCCTTTCCTTGATTCGGTTATATGTCAAATAGGAGACAGATTGCTAAAACATAAATCTTTTTTGTGAGGTTTTATGTGTCTTTTACCCAATGACTCGGGTTTTACCAAAGAACAGGAAAAGAATGCCATAACACTTATGCAAAAATATGAACGTGTGATTAACAGCAGTGTCATCGATGAAAGCATTGGAGAACTGAAACTGTGGTGGCGCCACATTATTACAAGTGGAAATGTAAGTAGTATATTAGGTCCCTTTTGGACCGCAGGCGCAGGCGCAAGGTGAAGGGTGAGGGGGAGCAAAGGATATATAGTAAAATACTCCAGCCGCAGGCGCAGGGCGCAGGCGCAAAGGTTATATAGTAAAATACTCCCCCACCTGGTGGTGGTAGAGGGTGAAGGGTGAGGGGGAGGGGGAAGAGAAGGCGCAGGGTGAAGGGTGAGGGGTGAGGGGGAGCAAAGGATATATAGTAAAATACTCCAGGCGCAGGCGCAAAGGTTATAAAGTAAAATACTCCCCCACCTGGTGGTGGTGGTGGGTGAAGGGGGAGGGGGAGTGGAAGGAGAAGGCGCAGGCGCAGGGGGAGGGGGAGTAGGTCAGAAGTCACCACCGGTGAACTTGTGACGTAATCACCACCGGTAACCTAGTTACGTAATCACCAGAGGTGACCTAGTTACGTAATTTTAATGAGATTTTAATTAGTTTGATTTTAATTTTATATTTGTTTATTTTTTTAATTAGTTTCATTATTATCTTTTACTTTAATTACGTAATTTGATTATTTGTTTGATTCTTTAAATTTTAATTTTTTAAAATATTATTTTTTAATTTTTAAAATTTTTAAATTTTTAATTTTTTTTTTTCAATTATTAATTTTATATTTGTTTATTTGTTGTTTACTTGTTGTTTATTTGCTTTATTTGCTTTATTTGCTTTAATTCATTTTATTTCTTGGTATGTTTTTTTAATTTTTAAATTCTCAAACACAAAGAACGTGTGCAAAAAACAGGTTAAATTCTCCAACACACCGAACGTGTACAAAAATAGAAAGCTCTTTGTATAGGGCCTGACTTAACGACAGCTGTTACTCGTTAACGACACCTGGCACGCATCGATCCGCCAGCGAAGCTTCCCATTTGACAGGGACCGTGCAGTGATGAATCGATTTTCTCGGTCGGTTTGACAGGCGCGGTTGATTTATGGCGGGCAGTGAATGCATTGGAAAACCCGAACACCATAGGGGGGTATGCTGACAAGATTGTAGACTACCTCTGTCCATTAACTATGTTCACATATCGTACGACCGGACATTCTTGGATCATATTAAAATTATTGTTTCCACATGTCCTACGCACTAACAGTTATACGTACAGTATCATAGGTTTTTTGATCGAGTAAAGAAATAATGTTGATCGACCCGCGTCGACCTCGTGTGTTGGGCGCCACACTTAACGGAGGCTCTAGAGCTTTTTTCATTACCTTGTTTTTAAGGGTTTTTTTGTACTAGACTAATTTTAATTTTTTTATTTTTTCATCATCTGTTAACTTTAAGGTTCTATAACTCTATATATTTAAATACATTTTTTGATTCAACCGAGTTTACTTTCCCTAACGTAAGTACATGTAAAGGCGGGTTTCCCATAGATATGTAATGAATTAGGCCTTTTTGACTATGACTTGTTGTCCAGGTGTTGACATGATACGTTTTTTTTAGATACACGTACACACACACACACACACACGAAATTCATACTAGGTCGGTAAAGGCGGAGAGAACTCATAGGTATACATTATCATGGTAACAACAAAAGCGACCCTTATTTTATTTACATGAAAGAGTGTTTTCCAAAAAGTGTCACCATGCCGTTGTCATTTTCCCAGCGGGGTTTATTTTAAGTGCACCCCGTGCGCTCTTGTTTAAATTTTAAAAGACGTGTCGCGTGTCGTCCCCACGTGTCTTCCCTAATAGAGAAACGAGAGGAAAGACAACTGTTCTAAATTTAGAACAGCCTTGTTTACAGCCACGAGTAACGGCCCTTGTGAAAAAAATTCTCGTCAGAATCCTTAACTAAACATTCAATTTCTTTAACAAGTTAAAAAAATAATTTAGGAAGACAATGCTTAACAACATTAGACGCCACCCTTTTTGTTTTCTGTGACGACAAGGCACAATACACTTTTGTATTTTATGTCTCAAGTAGAGGGGTGGGATATTTTTTCTTTGTAAGCGTGTTGTAAACAATGGGAAGAGGAGGCGATTACTAAGTAAGAGGGGAGAGAACGTGGTTTGCATCGCGATATTTGAAAATATGGCGATGTTTAACCTATGCTTACAGACCTCAACCAAAACAGGCAATGAACCTAGAAGGAAGACGAATATATATCTTAGTCTTGCAGCAGATTACATTCCCATGTTCGCTTTAGTATTACAGTTTTCATCAAACTTCTTTTTGACTTGAACTTCTTTAATTTAAGAAGGTTTACTTATACATAATACATTACGTCTAATTACAATTTTTATTTTTACCACTCAATGTATTTTGTTTTTCTATATCTTGCATTG